TATTTACAACCACAAAAAAACGATTCACTGTCGACGCGATGATATTCCTTAATAGAATTTCTGATATCTTTGACTGAATGACTGCGTTTATGCACGACGTTGTCAGGGTCAGCAGGTCTAGCTAATTCATTGGTAGAATTATTATTATTATTATACAAATCCTTTCCTGTACACAAGGACAGACGCGCTGTGTTGAATACTTTAATACAACAGAGATTTGCAAGCCACGAAAGGTAACATTCTTCACAGTATCTCCAGTCTTGTGCTCTAACCAATCCTTTAACGTTAACGAAAGGGTTCAGTAAGTGCCAAGTCCAGTGAGTATCAGGTCCAGCGCTATGTCTAGTATGTCCAGAGCCAGGTTTAGTGAGCGTCAGGTGCAGTGGGTGCCAGGTGCAGTGGGTGCCAGGTCCAGTGGATGCCAGGTTCAGTGGGTGCCAGAGTGGGTCAGGTCCAGTGAATGCCAAGACCAGTGAGTGCCATGACCACTGGGTACGAGGTCCTGTAATTGTCAGGTCGAGCGAGTGTCGGGTCCAGTGATAAAGTACTGTGAGGGCCAGGTCCAGTAACTGCCAGGTTTAATAGGTGAATCACCGAGTGCCCATGCCCAATTAGTACCCAGGTCCAGTAAATGTATATGTATGAGTGTGCTTGTGTACTCACCTAGTTGAGTAATTGAGCTTTAGCTATGTGGTCTCGCCTTTCAACCTTCAGGCAAATGTTGTACAGGTTCCCAAGCTTTTTGGACCCCTATCAGACCTGCATTTAAAGTTCCATACGCAGTCTGCCTCAACTAATTGACGTCCTAGCCCATTCCACTTGAGCACTAATCTATAACTGAAGAAATTACATGGCCTGGTCGGGGAACGTCGAGCCCCGAATTAAACACAACGTAAAGAAACCATATTAACACATTGTGTATTCACTGGTGTCCGTCTGACTCGTGTATCTCCTATATTCAGATCATTGTTCCAGTCGGCCTTTTTGGACTGGTATTAAGGTAGATCATCCCTGCCCTCCGCCCCGAGGAACACACGCTCAGTCCTACCACCACCACCACCACACAGCACTCACTGTGTGGTGAGCGCATTGAGGTACTTCTCAGCATTGAGGTACTTCTCAGCACTGAGGTACTTCTCAGCATTGAGGTACTTCTGCAGGACGGGGAAGTACTTCTGTTGTACTTCTACAACAGCAGCTCCGTGAAACGCACAAGTTCCCCAACACCGTGTCTGGGTTATACACTAAATATCGCTTTTACGCAACACTCTCATAGTTACGCAATGCAGAATCAGCGTTGTGCAACGTAGAATCATCATTACGCAACGCAGAATAAGTACTATGCAACACATAATGATTTATGCACAACAATGAATCATCACTGAGCAACAACATTATCGGTGTGTAATAGAGAATCACAAATGAGCAACAGAGAATCATCAGTAAGCAACAGAGGATCTTCAATGAGCAAAAAAATCATAAATGAGCAAGAAAAAATCATGAATGAGCAACAAATAATCAAACAAGGAGTAACACAGAATCATCAGTGAGGAAGAATCATCAATGAGCAAGAATCATCAATGAGCAGCACCGAGTCATCGGCGAGCAGCACCGAATCATCAATGAGCAACGAAGAGTCATCAATGAGCAGCAAGAGAATCCTCACCGAGCGTGACAACGGGAATTCAAAAACCCACCAATTCTTACCTCAATCGGAGTCCGGGTTCCTTGTCACTGGCGTCTGACTGGAAGTTCTTGTACTTCTTGCCATATTCTTTGATCTGGGCCTTGGTCACCTTCGTGGGCTCCCTCTTCCGCGAGTCCACGAGCTTCTCCAGCTCCTCCCTCGTCACGACGTCCGGGGTGAAAACACTGAGGCTTCCAATGGACTTAGATTTCTGCATCTCGGCCGGCCGGAACTCGGATATAGAATGATAGCGAGACCTGACCGCCGCCGCCAGCGTGGGGCTAACGGCCACCTTTTGGACGTTGGATACGCACATTGTAAAAAATAAAAAGCTATCTCAGGTCTTCCCGAGATACAAAACAACCAATTTAAAACTGGACCGTACGCAATATAAATGGGAATGGCCCCTCCTTGTCTCTATAAGCACTGGCGAGGTGGTGTGTCTAGATAGAGCGTTCTCTTGTAATCTTCACCAGTAGAGATCAGTTCGAGGTATGACACACAACCTCGCAGACTCCTTATATATATATTACCCGGAGCTGAGTTGCCAGCAGGGAGATTCACGCAGTAGCAACATTGGCCAGCGCGAGAATAAATATATATATATATATAAATGTATATATATATAAATTTATTCTGCTTAGAGCGATGAGGTCCTGTACAAAAGCATTAATGGTTGCTCGTGTTGCGTTAAGCATCAGTACCATGGGTTAGATAATGCATTTTTATCAAGAAATGCTTAGCTTGTTAAGCACGTGACAGATTTTAATTACACGTATTTTGTTTGGCATTTCTGGTCGCTTACTAAAATGC